AACTGTCATTTAATACATTGCAAGGATATTATATCTAGACTATCTTTTCCATGGTCAACTAAAGGTCTGCTGGGGTGGCTAGGGGAAACACAGAGTTGGGCCTCTCCCAACTATTTCACTGAAGAAACGTATCATCACTTTAACATAAAGAGCCCTAACACTGGATATTCAAACCACAAGGCTATCCTACCCACTCACGCTGCAAGAATCTGATTATAGTGTAGAAACTGCTACAAGCTCAACCTCAGAGACACGCTTTAGAAGATTCATAGAATAGAATATAGAATCATTTAGGTTGGAAAAGACCTTTTAAGATCAAGTCCAACCATTAATCTAGCACTGCCAAGTCCACCACTAAACCATGTCCCACATGTACATGTCACATGTACATGTCTTTTAAAATACCTCCAGGGATGGGGATTCAACCACTTCCCCAGGCAGCCTGTTCAAATGCTTGACAACCCTTTCAGTGAAGAAATTTTTCCTGATATCCAATCTAAACCTCCTCTGGAGCACCTTGAGGCCACTTCCTCTTGTCCTATCGCTTGTTACTTGGAAGAAGAGATTGACCCCCACCTCGCTACAAACTCCTTTCAGGCAGTTGTAGAGAGCCATGAGGTCTCCCCTGAGCCTGCTCTTCTCCAGGCTAAATAACCCCAGTTCCCTCAGCCGCTCCTTCTAAGACTTGTGCTCCAGACCCCTCACCAGCTTCATTGCCCTTCTCTGGGCACTGTTCCAGCACCTCAATGTCTTCTTTATAGTGAGGGGCCCAAAACTGAATACAGTATTCAAGGCACAGCCTCCCCAGTGCTGAGTACAGAGGGACGATCACTTCCCTGTTCCTGCTGGCCGCACTATTCAGCAGCTACTCAAAGCTGGAAAAGTGAAAGTTCAAATTAAGCAGAGTAAAAAAAAAATTAATTCTAGGTCTCCCTCATTCCTCTCACCTGAACAGCTCACTCTCCTCCCTGTAAATGCTCTAAGTGTTCTAGCGCATGTCTAAAAAAAAAAAAATGTGTACTTAACATTTTAGTAGAGCATTAATGCCAGATGATGTGTTAGTGTTCAGGATTAAGTGACTGCATAATAACCAATGACAGAAATTTACAGGCCTTCAGGAATTTCATGATTGAGAAAGACTGATGTCTAGGATTAAAGCAATTCGGAGGATCTAAATGTTAAAGCCAAGCATTTTACCGCCGCTTCAGACAGGCAGCCTTTTTTGAGGGCAGGGGAACTAGCCCTGAAAGCATTCTGCAAGGGAGTATTCCGCATCACATCAAGTGCATGTGAAATTAGATAATCAATTTAGCAGCACAGAATATCTAACACAATAAACATCTTATAAAAAGGCAACAAAAGTTTGAACATAAAAGGATGCAATGTTTCTAAACTCAGTATCAGATAACATACAATTATCCATTGCTTGAGCTCTCTAACCCTTTTTTGTTGCACGTCTGTAGCCTGCGCTTGATTCAAACTGCTCCAGACAGAAGCTTATTTAAACTACTTATCCATTAATGGAACTATGAACATCACACAATACACGTCTTTAGAGCAAGGTACCTAAAACAAGATAAGTAGGATTAAAGCATGCCTTTTCATGCTATAAGAGTAATTCATTCCCCAGACTTATTTGCCAGCTTGACTTGAAAGATTATTATAAATATGGAAGAAAAGGGCAATGGAGAAAAGAAACACAACAGTGTTCAGACATTGACATTGTAAAACCATATTCCTATTTCAGGGATGTGAAATAATTTATAAGATAATACAACATAAAGTATTTTCCACATGTAATAGTTTATTCATGCCAGAGGACAGATCCAGTTGTAACTAATCAGTGGAAAAGCTTAATGCAGTAGCTGCAGAGATAATTCAAACAGTAACTGTAATTAAAAAAAAAACAACCAGGAAAGTGCTTCCTATGAAAACAACAGTAATTTCCATTTATAATTGCCTTCTATGATGATCACAAGCATTCTTACAACGGAATAAAGCACAGCAATTAGCACTTCCCAGTGGTTAAAACCTATAAGCAAGATTTTGCGATTTAAAAGTCACAAAAAGTTATAAAAAAAAGCACTGAGTAGGAAATTTATCAGACAAAAGTTTAAACAGAAGCAGCCTGACCTGAAGTGCCCACATCCAGCTATAAGCAGTATCTGTTCTCCAAACTGGTCTGCGTACAAACCAGAACTAGTTTCACCAAACCTATAAACTTCAAAGGTTGTGTGGGCATTTCAGTGGGCTCACATGGCAACAGGAATTGAATTTATCATGATTTACCAGAGCTGAAATAATATTTGCATACTCTTAGCCCATGGCAAGCATGAGGGATGGTAAGAGTCTGTATAGAAAGAGGCTTAACATAAGCCAAGTTACATTGCCTTTCCCATGAACAGAAGTCACATGGTGACTTATCCAACATGTGGTAGCCTGCCAAGCACTGAGACTTGAAGGTGGAGTCTATCAACAGCTGGTCAACTTTATGCAGTTTATGTTCTTTCAGTTTAGAAGCAGGTTTAAGCTAAAACTAAAGATGTCAGTCAAACCAAGAAAAGTGTCCACATAGGGCATAGCTCAACTGAATTAGCTTCAAATCAGTTTTAACCTAAAGAAGGGCTATAGCTAATTCAGCTTTTAACATGATCAAAGCAAACTGTATTAAGTATTCTTCTTTGGCTGGAAAAAATGGCTATGCCAGCCAGCTCAAATAAGCCCCACATCTAGTCAAACCTATCCAAATGCCTTTGTACTGTAGAGCGACGGCACATAAGGAGGGTCTGTACACATGACCACCTCACCAGTTACTGCATTCTCTTCATCTGAAAGACCCTGTATCAGAATTCCTATGACATTGATGAGGGGTGGGAGACAACAACATGCAGCATGAGATCAGCAGAAGTGGGGAAGGGAGAATGCATTTAAGGGAGAGAGAGAGAAGCAGCACCAAGACAGAGGAAGCAAGGCAGATGGCTTACAAGCCATCCCAACGGGCACTGAGCTACAAGCAGCTGGCTATTCCTGATAGAATTTTCTGCTCTAGAACAGTTCACTTGCAAAGACAAAAAGCATAGGTGGGAGCAGCTACACCCTAGCGAAAACCAACTGCTCAACGATTGTAGGCCCTTAGAGGTTCAGGAATGAGGGGCTTGACATCAGGCATTTTGTTTGGTGCGAACACCAGAGGAAGGCAGATTTTAGATTAAAATAGCGAGACCATAAGACCATACAACAGCAAGTTTTGATTGTAATTTCTGCTGGCATAATCACTGGTGTGCAGTTCAGGCCATGCCTGGTAAGAATAAATCAATACTACTTTCCTTCGGTGTTTTGTGAATAAATCACTCTAGAAAATACCCTGACCTTGCATCATCAATTTCTGTTTTATGGGAAGTGAGCTGCTGTCCCTAGGCAATGGCAAAAGTATGCGAGGTTGTATAACATCAAGAGAAAAAGAAAGCCTGAATAATGATGGACAAGACATATTAACAACCAGTCCTGACTTGATTAACTTGAAATAAGATGGCCCCAACTCATAAAGAGTAATGTTTTTTCTAGGATTTTGGGATGTTCAGATCTGTGTCTCCACTTCAGGTTCAGAACACAAAGTTTTCAAGGGTCTGCATTAGCAAGTTATTTCTTCCCATAATAAAAGACTTCAGGATATGAAACATGTAACAGCTCTTAGCATCCCACTGGGTCAGGCAATGACACACATACACAGAAAGCTTGCAATATACAGAGATGGAGCAAAATGCAAGCATTGTGCTAGCTCTAGTCAAACAGTAAAAGGCAGGTACAACACACTGCGCATGACAAAGTGCCAATCCCAGCAGTATGTCTGTGTCTAACTAAGAGATAGTTCCACAAAACTGTCACCTCAGTGCTCATTAGCTGTCACAGAGCTGAGTGGGGACAGGAGTTATTAGGAAAGAATATATCTGTGGTTCCCCACACCTTGAGAACTCTGCATTTGTGGTTCCCACACCTCATCCAGGAAAGATGTTGAAATGCAAGAGGCCCAGAGAACTACCAGAAGGACAATCTATAGGCATGAAACAATGTCAGTATGGGTAACATTTAAAAATATAAGGATTCTTCAGACTGCGTATCAGAACTGAAGGAGCAGTACAGGACCTGTACTATAATGACAATAGGACACGATGCTCACCGTCTGTTCTAATACAAGAACTAGAAGGCATCAGATACTGCTAGTAAGAATAAGGTTCAAGTCAAACAAAAGCAGGTGCTTCTTCACACAGGCAAGGCTGGGCTGGACTGTCAAACTCCTGAGTAAAGGATGCTGTAGATACTAACAGTTTACTGGAGTTCAGAAAACAACTGCATAAATTCATGGAAGACAAGTCCTTCGATAGCTGCCAAATTAATAAAAAAGGAAAAACCCCACCACACTACTCTCTGACTTTGGAGTCTCCAAATCATAAAATTGTCTAGGAAAATAGTCTGGGAGAACACCACTATCTGTTTAAAAACTTAAATTCTTCCCCAGATTTTCCCCCAACTGAAGGCCACTGTCAATGCAAGATAGCAACCTAGAAAGACCTTGAACTGTACTGCATCCATTCTTGTGTAGGCATTTTTCTTTTTAGCTAATAACCCCCCTTCTAAACCTGAGCATCATTTTCAATGCAATGCCTATACATTAATTTCATAATGCTTCACTCACTTCCCTCTCCCTTGCCTTCCCTCTCTTTTCAGATTAAAGAAAATCCAGATGGGGTGCAGGTGCTGCAAAATGATACAAAGGTACAACAGAACATGAGTTGCTTAGACAGAACAACAGAAATGCATTAAAACATGTGTCTGTGCTCCCCTACTCCTGTTGCTTAAGTTAAGCCTATTTACAAGGTTGGAGTTTTCCAAAAGTTTACAGCATCTTCAAAGTCATACCAGAGCATAGGCATACAGATTTCCTGTGAATGTCCTTTTGATTTACTCTAACTGAGGTCCATTTCTATAATTCCTATCCCACAGAAAAATTGTGTGGCATTGAAAACTTGTACTTAGCAGAGCTTTTCTCATTTAGGTAGCATGACCTTCCCCCAATTCAGTAGAACGAGGAGCACAGACTTTGTCGGATCCTCCCTCTCTCTTAAGCAATGAAAATGAACTGCAGATCCTTACCTCCTTCATGACTTTTAAATGTAGTTAGTTGTGGGAATAATTCCCACATTAGAAGTCTCCCTGGAGAGGGAGACTAGCTAATTTTAGAAAGACAACACTACAGCCCCACTTGATGGTTACTCCTTCCCTTGGCCACATCTCTAGAACAAGTAAGGAAGGGGGAAAGAAAACAGGTACTATGAGAGAAAAAGGGGAGATAAAAGAAAAGAGAGATGCTCTGGAAGAAATAAGTCAAGGAAAAGTTAAGAGTGAGAGAAAAAGTTAAGTAAGAAAGGAAAAAGGAGGGGACAAAAATAAAAAAAAGGACAAAAAGATAAGACTTGAAAGGAAGAAAACTAAGAAAAACGAGGGAGATGAGATATTTTAGCGACTACATGAGGACATATTAATTAACAATCTATGTGTTGATTACTCATTGCTTAATCTACCCACCAGAGAAAACAAAAAGTAAAGCTGGAAACATACAATAACCAGCACAAGGTTCTCTGACGTCCCCCTTATGCTCCTGGTGTATCTCACTACAGGGGTTAGTTACAGTCAGTCCCAGGGGACAGCAGCCTACAGCAGAGTTCAGCATTTCCATTCAATTTAGCCCATTCTCAGGACCCGAGGTAAAGCTTAGTGACACCAGTTCCTCAAGATCTCCAGCTTAAAGATTAAGCTTAATATTTTTTCTAATGATATTGATTAACAGCATAATTAACAATTCCTCTACAAATTTGTCTTACTCCAGCTATATTTTTGATCCAGAAGAAGTACAGTCGCCTGGATGCATTCATGAAGTAAGCAGCTACAAACAGAATGAGCAAGGCAGCAATAAATCCAAATTCAAGAACAGTGAAACTGATGAACACAAAAATGAACTCCAGAAGGATGAGCTAAACAGAACAGAAAACAAAACCCAGGTAAATAGCACAAAAGAAACTCTCTGGAACCAGAGAGGCAATGATTTTCAAGAGGATGGCCTTGTGAAGTGTGTTGCAAAGCTCGATGTTGCAGTCAATGGTGGCAATTCCCACACTGGAGTGCACCCCACGCTCAATCCCAGCGCAAACCCAGTGAAAGAAGCCAGCGAACAAGGACCCTCCAGCCAGTCAGCAGAGTCTCCTTCAGCCACCCATAGACACTTTTACACCAAACTAAATAGGTCTGGCCAAGAACTTGACCTAGAGGCAGGCAGGCAGAGGCAGGCAGCCTGCAATGAGCCAAAAAGTATTCAAGATGGGAATGCCCAGTCTGCAGACGATAGCATCTTTCTTGAAGGAAGTGCAATATTGGAGACACAAAACAATGCCATACAACTGCCAGATATTGATTACCCCCAAAATGGCAATCAAACCAAGAACTATATTGAAAAAGATTGTGCACAGTTGACTGAAAAGCTTTCAGAGCAAAACAGTGGGCCTTCAGCAATACAGGACCAGGAACTTTGTGTAACTCCACCTTCACTTATGAAGGACAGCAGTATTGAACCTTTTAAAACTGACTCCGCCAGTTTGAGTGAGGGCATTTTTTAACAGCACAGGCATGCACACACACCAACCAAAGAGACATCAATGGAGAAATTGAGGAGGAAGATGCAGAAGTAGCAGCAGCTCTGGCTGCACTGGAAGCTGCAACTGCAGGGGAAGACCTGGAAGACGACGACGAGTACTAGCTGAGAGTTTCTTCCTAACACACTGGGTAAGATCCAGATTTTATTTCTGGATCTATATGAACACATGTACAGCACATATGGACAGCTGTTATGAACAGCATATATTAAAGGAGTTGGGACTAAACCTATGTCCCTTCAGCTGTTTTATACAGCCTTTTAATTTCTACTGCCCAAGGTACAGAAGTCCTCCCTTGGCTAATGGCAATACTAACTCTTCTCTATGGTGCCGACGAGGAGGGCAAAGCATCATTGCTTCCACACAGGATATTCTGCTGTATATCCACCCCACCTGGACTCATGCAAATGTTTCCTTTGGGTTTGACCCTAAAAAGGGTCTGCGGACACTGCATGTTCCAGGTTCAGAAAACTTTCATTATTTAAAACAGAACTATAGAAGCCATGGAGTTAGAAGCCACAGATTTTCACCATGTTAGCACAAAAAAGTAAAACTGACCCCAAGTCCTATGATCTAATGAAGTATGAAACAGGGAAGGCAGCTTGGCTTGCACTTCACAGCAGTTATGGTTCCATTCCAGCTTAAGCTTAAATCTGTACCTGTGCAGCTGGCATTAGGGTGATACCCAAAGTGACCTGCTTCAGTTCATTAAAACAGCAGAAGCCTACCCAAATCCACAGGAGCGGGTAACTTTCTGTAGGTTTAACGAGCTGAAGTAGCTCACATAAGAATTCCACATACACTATGAGAAGTGCTGGAGAGGGATCAAAACTCAGTCCTACCCATTTAGATAGATTAAAACTGTTGTAAAACTACAGCCCAAGATCTCTCACCTAAATTTTCCAGGCTCACATCAGTTGCCTTAATACAGTTTGCAAACAGGTTGTGTCTCAAGCTTCCCCAGCAAGAAGTGTTTTGCTTACATAGAAAGAGCAAGGGCCAGCATAGACCCATGCCTGGCTCTGCTGCAGTCCTTAAACTTACAGCAGGAAAGGGATTGAACTTCCAAGCTAAATTAAGCGTAAATTCTGAAAATATCAGAGCTGTATTGCTAGAGTGTTTACCCTTTCTCTCATCTTCAGACTAGTATGTTAACCTTTCTTGCGTGAAGCAAAGGAGATAGATAGACCAGCCTGGTGCTGCCGTTTCATCAAAAGTGGGATTTTAACAGTTGAAATAAAAGTGCTTGACATTTTATACTGACATTTTGTGGTTTCTGAGTCTGTTATAAACTCTAAATAAATTTTTTTAATCATATGAAAAATCATCTGGTGGCTTTTGTACTTTATGCATTTTCTGATTATGTAACAGTTGCATAAAAGAAGTACTGTAAGAAATATCCTTCATTAGATATATGAAAAGCACCAACTATGTATTTGCCAACAGTATATGCTGAATACTAGCCTAACCATTAACATACATAAACCCCATCTCCTAATGTTCTGATCCTTAATTAATGTGTACTTAAGTAATATGTAGATATTTAAATTATTTGTTTAAATGGCAGGTTCCCTCTTTTCCTCCAGATACTGCAAGCCCAAATAAAGATTTCAATTTCTCAAAACATTAATGATATCCCTAGGAGCAATTAAAAAAGCCTAAAGTTTCAGCTTCAACAGAAGTATATTCAGCTACAGATGAAAGTCTCCACACTGTATCTGTAAAATAAAAAAGCTTTATATGTTTTTAAAGTATTGTTGTACTGTTGATTTCTCTATCACTTTCATACTTTAATAGGCCCTTCTAAGCATTTTTGTAAGTGCATACAAGTTTTCTGTGCACATTTGTGTATCAAAGATTCCTATAATACTGAATGACAGTGAAAGACTACTTGCACATTGCACATTACTAGTTCTGGTTATGACAGGACATAGCATATGTTTGTTTTTATATTGTGAGGGCCCTGAGGGCATCACCAGGCCTGATTGTCCCTGCCCAACCCCAGGGGCTCCCCCTGCCCTGCCCAGGACCCCATTTCAGCCCCTCAGGTCTGTCCAGGGCCCAGGACCCCATCTAGCCCCTGAGAGCTGTCCAACCCCTGCCACAGTTCCCCACAGCCCTGCCCAGCCTGGCCATGAGCCCCACTGAGCTGGGCCCACCTGCAGGCCCACAGCCCAGCCCAGCCTCGGCCTGGTGGAGGTGCCCGATGCCCAGCACTGGGGTTGCCCCCATGCCCCCCACCCTGCCCCGCTCCCTGGCTGGGGCAGTGGGACAGGTCCTGGCTGCAAGGCCCAGCCCTGCCATCCCCAGGGGATCCTCCACCGCTCCCCACACCCCAGCCCCAGGGAGCCTCCAGCCCTGCTGCACCATGGCACAAACCATGAAAAAGGATTTCAATAAAAAAATGCTAGAGAAAGAAATGCAGCAAACACCCCACGAAACATATCTGAGTTTTCAATATCCACTCGACTAGATTTTTCTAACCTGAACTCCAACTTGAACTTTGAGTGCAAATCAGTGCAAGTTCTCACCTTGCTCCGCAAGAATTTCAATACCCTAGAGAAGAGCAGCCGGTCAAGCCCAGCTGGTGCCCTGGAAACTCCAGACCAGGCATCCTTTTTACGAGCAACTGCCCGCAATCGGGGACCACCAGCCTTAAACCTACTGCAAGAGATCAGCTGGGCCACAGACATCACATTTCTTGTAGCCTGTGTTTTCATTGTCTTAAACATAAGAAAGGCAAAACCAGTGTAAAGCAAATATGTTCCCTGCATCGGAAATAAGTGGTCAATGCTTCTCTTAACAAGAAAAAAAAAAGTCAGGCATATGCATACCTCAAATCTGCAGAATATGGAAAGCTTCCATAAAATAAACCTATGAGGTATCACCAACATTCAGACTTCTCTTACCTGCTATCCAAAAGTGCCCTGTGCAGTTGTTTGGGTTTGTTTTTTTTTTAATACACATATATGGTTTTTATATTTAAATATGTGTTTATTTTCCTTCAGCTCTACCATGTCACATCTGAGTGTCAGGAATTCTTAACCATTTCTCAGACTGCAGTACACTTTTCACAATAGATGTGAAAGAGAATCAATTATTTCAGAAATAATTTTTAAATACCACATAATTTCCTTCATAAAAATCAGTTTTTAAATAATTATGTGAGAACCAGATCTTATTCAGATTCCTCAGATATTGATGCAAAGAAACACAAACGCTGCCAGCTTGAACAATGCATTTTTCTCAGACAACTGAGTGTAAAACTTAGTATCCTGAGAAAACAGAGAAAGTTACAGGAAAAAAAGTTACTGGAATCAAGAGAAAACTGTGTATTTTAAGACTTCTCTCAAAAACTACACAGCTTTTAAGACACCTCCTCTTTACCCCAAACACCATCACTTCAGATACCAATCAATTATGTTTCCTATATTCAGATGGCTCACTCATGAAGTAGACCTTAAATGTTTCAGTTTTCCTTTGATACAAAAGGAATTAATGAGGGAGCTGGTTGGCCAATATCCATTTTTAATGTTTCTATATTTGATGTAATTCTAGACAGGTGAGTGTGAAGACATATGTAGCAATAAAGAACAGACATCAGGATGGAAAACTATTACAAAAGCTGGTATTTCTCTGATTTTCTAGGTAATTTTTTTTCCTGTGATTTTTTTCTTCCTACAATTTTCAAGATTTTGTATCTTGGAAGCTCATGTTTTACTTGTTATTCTCCAAAGCTAGTTACAGCTTAAAGGGATCTGCAATCTTTCCTTCTGTAAGCAAAGAGACATTGAGTACAAGTAAGCTTAGCACCTTCTCATTTAGAAGTGGGTCACCACTAGATTATGAAAAAATCTTCAGATCACTGCAGAGACTCCAGATACAACAACAGGAGTGGAAGACAGCCCAGTCCATCCAACTCGTGGAAGTTAATTATTTCCTAGAGAAAACATTATGGGGGAAGTTTATTTACAGAGCAACAGAAGAACCCCACATTTGATACTGCATAATTCTTAAGTTCAGCAAACAAAACCCTAACAAGAAACCAGGAACCTGGAAATAGATAAATTCCACATGGATTTTTATTTTTTTTTCTTTTAAAGAACAAAGGCAATCGGCTGGGCAAGTGTTGCTATGGAGACTTCCCATTAAAAATTAAAATCTAGAAATAGAAGGTCTATTATTTTCTAAAAGATACTTGATTTAATTGCTTTAAAGAAATCTAAAAATACCATTTTTTATCAGCATTTAAATCATGAAAGCAGCACTGACTTAAAAACTAAAAAAAAAATAATCTTGACCTTGGGTTGTATTTGCAGTTTCAGTTTCCTAAATGTGATTTAATTTTCCAAAAGATTAATTCTTGCCAATGTATCTTATTTTGCTAAATGAGAATAGAATATCTCAACATTTATTAAGGCCCATGTATATGGTATTTCATACATTAATTCAAATGCCTATATTACTACATTTTAACTACATTGAAACAATGAAGATTAATAGATTATTTATCTTGACTTGTGATATCTCTCCTTGCAGGTAGATGGAAATTGGAATCCATCTAAACTGTGCAAGAGCATCACTTCAAAATTAAATGTATTAGAACTTCTTTAACGTGCTCAATACATGAGAAAGTAAATTTATCAAAGTCGTTCTACATTAAAAACTAGTTTATTTTTAAAAGGAAGTTTTATCAACAGAACTGTTTCAGACACTGTGTCCTTCTAGGTTTTAGAACAGCTGTATCATACAATGTTCAAGAGTAACTGTCAGAAGCAGATTAAGACTTTTTCACTGGTCTTGCCAACGCGAGATGCCCTTGGCAAGGGTAATTTTTCTTACCATCATGAAATCAAAACAGAAACTCCTCAGCTCCTTCCCTGGCCAGGCTTTCCAAATTTCACACGTTCACATACACAGCTAGAGACCTCAGTCTCAGGACTCCTTTCTCCTTCAACAATTTTACTTGGCATCTCAGGGAGGTTGTTTTTTTTTTTTAAACTGTCCTTAATTTTGAATGTTCACAATAATTTTCTAAACTTCAGATCAGGCAATCCTTGAATTGAACTAGTTGGATAAACAGAAAATGGGAAAAACCTACACA